GAGGAGGAAAAAAGGAAGGATTAGGGAGAGAGAGGAGTGAGTGAGAAGCGAATTGGGAGAAAGCCCTCGAAAATTTGTTGAGAGTAGAAAAAGAGGGGGACTTGCGGTTGGGGAGTTCCCGCGGCAATTTGTTGTGGGAAAACAGACGAATTGGAATGCGATATCTTCGTTTCACGTGCTTAGGGCATTCTAGCAGATTTAGAAACTGTTTTTGGATGTTCGACCAAACTCTGGTCGCTTATTGTTACAGATAATGGGGTTATTATTTTTAATACCCTCGACTCAGCGCACCGTGGCAGTTTGTGTGCGGAATAGGAGCAGCCCTTTTTAAATAAGTTTGGGAAACAATTTTACCCAGAGTTCACCCAATCCCGAAAAAAATATAAAATTCACGTTAAATAAAATAACAAAACAACCCAAATTCAAAATGCTAACAACGCAGCTATACGTAATCAAATCCATTAACCTAGTACGTTCTTGAAAACCTGAGCAATAGCCCCAATGTAAAGAGTGCACGCTTATTGCTCCTGTGCTCCTAAGAGTAAGAATAAGTTCTGAGTTCAACCAATTTACAAATCAATACAAAATCTTTTTCTTAGTTTAATCTTGAATCGCACCCCCGAGTGCTCTAAGGCATCGGGTGGTGCTTAGCAACGATATCGAGGACTCAAAGGAAAGCATCATTGCAGCAGATGGGCCATCCATCGACATCCACCTCAGCCAGTTAAGGTGTGTCTGCAGCATTGCAGCAGTCCTTATTTTGCCAGCTGGCATCCTCTCATTCCTCCCGCTGCAGCCCCTCGCCTTTGGGAGCAGGTAGAGCTAGTCGAGCGTATTAAAAATATTAACCCGATTAATTAACTGTAACAGTAAGCAACCAGCGTTCAGCCGAACATCCGGAAGCAGAGTTTCTAAATCTATTAGAACGCCACAACAAAGGTCAAGGAGGTCCCCCACCACAAATCGCCGGGGGACCTCCTCGACCGCAAGTCCCTCTTTTTTGTTTCGCAACAAATTTCAGGGGCCTTCTCCCAATTCCCTCCCATACCCTCCTCTCTCGCTTTCTTTCTAATCCTCCTCTCCTTCCTTCCCTCTTTCCTCATTCTCCTCTCCCTCCTTTTTGCTTCCTCCTGGAGCAGAGTATGACGCCTCTTGGATCTGTGCCGAATCAAAGTTGGCATATAACCGAGTGCAGCATAGGTTCCAAAGGCTTTGCTCGGATTAATATTTACTTAAGTGCCACACTGAAGCCTTTATGCGCAATAAGCCTGACGAATTCCAGCAGTGTCCGAAGTCATTGGTTTGACGATCTTCCCTGATCGGGCACATGCTAGCACACGAGGTTAACAAACCCTAAGGGCATTTGCGTAATGCCTGAACCAAGTGTCGTAGACAAACGCAAGTGTGTGAACGGGCCCTAAGAGCGAACGCTCCCCAAAAGGGTCAACTTTTGAACCTTTGGCTTAGTATGAATAAAAATTATAGTATATGCTGGTAGTGGCGAGACAAAATGCACTGCAAAGTTTCATCTGTGTACATGCAATGTGAAAGAAATTATTGTTGTTTTTATTAGAAACACACTGACATTGTTTAGGAAAACTATCGTTAGGAAACTAATGTAACACCTGACATTTTCCTTCACTGGATACACAGCAGAATGCCCGGAAAGTGCAACTGTGAGAACAAAATTTCCAAAAAGTAATTTATTTAGTAGTAGTAAACATATTAATTTACAGAATGATCATGTGGTATTTCGCTTAAAGGGACAATGAAGACGATTTTATTTATTTTTTTTAAACGGTGTTTTTATGCTTCTTGGGAACATAGCATGCCGCCCACTTTTTTGTAGACATTTATGACGCGTATTTCTATGCCTACGAAAGAAGTAAAGAAACCGAAACTGAACCATCTCCAGTCTCGTTTCTGGGCTTCCAAAAACGGAGGTGACGTAGGGAGTGACGTCAAGTGTTAATAGTCGGTATCGGTAGTATTTAGGAGATCGAGACTCTGGTTACCGCGGTGGGTTATAGCAGCGCGGTGGCGCAGTTGTTGCACCGACTCTGTCAACATGAACGAATGCCGCTCTCGCGAGCGAGTTCGAGCTTCCGTTCAGTGACCGAACACCAATGGAACGGGAGTATGTGTGTGGCGGCCTCTGCCATCACCCGACAGAGACCAACCAGCCTGCAACGAGCGGCCTGCATGGCGAAGGACGGACGCGAGGGAGATGCCGAAGGGAAAGCGGCAGCAATCCCGCGGTTCCGGGATCCGGTTCCTCCGCGGACTTCCTCTTTTCGTCGTCAAAGAATACGAACAGCAACCCACACATGAAAACTAGCGTCGCCCGAACCAATACTGGTCTTCAGTCGACCGTTAGAACAGCCATCTACAGCTACCATTTAGTAAAATCTTTCGAGTACCATGTTCTTTTTTAATTTTATTTTGTTGGCCCATAGTTGCTCGTTGCCGGTTTCGCGTCCAGCGTAGCAAAGAGAAAAACAATGATGCTTCTTTATTTACGGTTTAGTAATCATTTCCGATCCGATTTATACTTTTGATGGTTATTCAAGCGGAAATTAGAACAGTATTTCTAAAAATCACGAACCAAAACGTGACCGAGGACACGTCTCTCGTTTTGACCAATCGCCGACGCGTCTCTTGTGACGTCTCGCTCCTTGGCCCCGCATCGGTCACGTGAGCTCCGCTTCTCCTGGCTTCTCCCGCAACTCTTGGAGCGTCGCCCCAGTCGATCCCGGTACGATTATTACCGCGACTGTTTAATTGATTTGCGCGGCACACAAGCGCCGGTTTCGGCTGAAATTTGGGCAACGTGGCCTGAGACGTGCCTGGAACCCAGTTCAATCACCAAAAAGATCTCCGAAATTGCCTTCATTGTCCCTTTAAGCATAGATTTTCCACGTGGCAGCGGTGGTTCGGGAACCTGGCCGCCAGACCTTAAAATCTGCCTGGATGACGATGCGGGTGAGAGATGATGAGGTGTTCAAGGTGAGGAGGCAGATAGTCAAGTAGGGACTTCAGGATTTGAGTCCCCCTTTCAGAGACCCCAGTTGCGTCTGTCCACTGTCCCATATTCATGGGTCTTTTGTCGAGCGGAAGGCCACCCAAGACATCCTCGTGTTGCCCGGCAAGAGCCGAGCATTCCCATAGTGTCATATGATTGAGTTGGGGGATAGAGTTGGAATCCTTACATCGTTCACAGCTAGGGTCAGGGGGGACGGCATAAGGTTCTATTCTTCTAAGAGTACTAAGTTCAATGCGATATATAGTCCTAGGAGTCATTGCACTAGCAGTATGAATACGGTGAAGTAGCACCATGTCTTTTCTGCGGAACACTTTTTCTGTAATAGGGTCGTAGGTAGGAGTCCACAGCTCCTTGAGTTCTTTTTGCCGCTTGTTTCGTTTATGGCGAAGCCATTCTCTAGGGTCGTACTCTTCGGAGGATCGGTCGGATGGTCTAGTAGCATGCTGGGAGGATTGCGCGGATGTGGACGGGCTCGATGAAATTCTTCTCATCTCGCATCCAGCTGTCTCATGTGCAGCTTCATTTCCAGGGTTCCCACTGTGAGCAGTGACCCATAGGATGTCGAACTGAATGTTGCTTTCTTTCGTTAACCTGTTGGCTGTTTGGTAGATCTTGTCTATCGTGGGGCTGCAGGTGGAGCGATGTCTTTGGATTTCTCTGATGGCTGATTGAGAGTCTGTGTAGAGGATGAGTCGTTTGTCGCTGACGTTCGTCGCCTCGGGGCTGTGCAGCCCAAGGGGAATGGCGTGGAGTTCCGCTTTCTTAGTAGAGCCCCGACCTTCTTGCCGGGCTGGGCATGACCAAGTTGGCCTGCGGTGCCCTTTGAGAGCAGTGGTATATTGACGTGGCCCCCACCCAAGTACCAGTAGGGGGGTTGGTAGATCCGTCGGTATACACCACTATGTTGTTTTCGTCTTTCAGAAGCTCTTGTATTTCCTGCCGATGTTGCTTGCTTTGCTGCTTTCGTCTTTCTTTGTCCCTTTTTGTATTCATACAGGGGTGGAACGGCTGCGCCATTTGCGCCATTTTGCACCAGACGCATTTGTCTGCGCCATTCTGCGCCATTTTGCGGAAACTGCGCCACAGCCAATACCTTGCGCCATTATGCACCAAATCGCACAACGTGCGCCAAAAAAAAAAAAAAGGAATTGTATTTTGTCTTGGTTTCGGATTATGTATCGACTCAATTGGCAACAATGAGCGCGTTTAGCTTGGTCGGACTTGCCATCCTTTCTTCTCTTTATTCTCCCTGTGTATCCCGAGTCGGAAGCACGCGAAAAAACTCGCCTGCGACAGGATTGTTATTCTTCAACCATAAGCGGTTAAGCAAGTCGGCCGAGGTAAGATCGAGTCGTTAAGCGTCGGATAGCCTGAGGGTCTGCGGCCCGGGTTCTGGACATCAGCGAGTTGAAAACACATCAGCGAAAGATTCCTTCTAGTGCTTCATCGTTGGAAGTTAAAACCGCATTCTTGCAACATAAGTCATGATTTGATTGAACTGAAACACTGTCCGATCCGAATCCTTGCCGGCCAGCAGCTCTCACGCGAGCGGTAGATCTGCTCGGCGCACTTTAACCTTGCTCCTGCTTATCGCTTCGAATACGATAACTTTCGATATTGAGTTGCACAATAGGATAAACTTGAAATTTGTTGCCCTGTTGCTCCACGCAACTGCACGTCCGTTTCTTACGCACGTCACGCGGTTTGCACATATAATTATTTTGTAGAGCACTTGTGGGTTGTGCGATAAGCAGTGCTGGTTTGCATTTCGAGCAACTGAAAGCCACTCAGAAAATATCAAGGACGCCATCTTCAGAAACATATGGTATACTTGCTTTTCGGTTCTCATTAAGGCTCCCAAAGTTTCAAGTTTTCGCATATGTTACTCTGTTATCCCATCTACCTACGTCCCTAACCACTCATGTTCATCTGTGCTGCTAAGCACATTTGAAATTACTCCCGTGCTCGTCTAAGACACAAGCTCAAGTGCAATGCAAACTGATCTGGGCTGCTCTTAGCCTGCTCCAGAAAGTAGTTTTAACTGCTCCCAACCTGCTCCAAAACAGCGGTTTCAGCTGCTCCCGTGACTGCTCCCAAATACATTTCATGAGTTCCACCCCTGTTCATATTTTGTGGGAAAGGTTTGGCGCCGGGTGTGAGACTGATGAGTTTCCAGGGAGGCCTTGGCTCCGGAATGGGATTCACAAATTGGATCGGGACATCCAAGTATGTCGCAATGGCTCGCTCTTCTTTGGTGTGCTGGAGTCGTGGAAGATGGGCTTCCTTTTGTTGTTGTAGGAGAACTTTGAATTCAGGGAGGTAGATGCAGTTGTGCAGCAGTGTGCTGAGGTAGTCCAAGGATTGCCCTCCTAGCATCATTCCACAGACTCTGTAGTTTTAAGTGGTGCACTTTGGTGAGCGGGAAGAAGTATGTCGCGTATGTTACGTTAGATACCAAGACTGTAGTGACAATATTCTTGGCCACCCTTTTTCCGGCACCACCTAGCCTGTGCGAGATCCTGCATAGAAAATTTAGTCCTTGTACGCAAGTATGTAAGCATAAAAAATTATTTTATGCTTACGTCGCGCTTAAACATTAAATATATCTTTTGCCTCTTACATCGTCGACAAAATCTTAACATTTTTTTATAAAAGGCATTCATAAGGTAAAAAAAGAACAATCCCACAGTTGCAGTGCCCATTAAATTCCAGTTATGAAAAACGAGTAAGCCTTTCCTTTTGTCTAATTACCTAACGATAGTTTTCCTAATGTGAAATATATGCCAAAAAATGGAACTAAGAAAAACGGGCTCAATGTGCCCAAATCTCTACCTTTTCTTTAGTAACTATGCAGTGCAAACAAATAAAACAATCTGGGAATACTCTCTAGGTGTTGGTGGATGTAAGCATGGCATTTCTCAAAATCTACATTTTTCCAGAAATTTGTTTTTTCTGGTATGTGTCCCCGATTAAGTAATGTGAGTTAACTTTTTCGAACATTTTTATTTTTTTTGTCCTGTACCGTTCTAAGACCTCACTCTAGCAGTTTGCTCAGTGGGGTACTTATCGCTGAGTGTGTGTGTGTTCACCACAACACTTCCTTCTACCGGTTCGGACATCGCTATTTGAACATTTCTCGCACAGCCCAGCAGGTTTTGCTATAAATTGGCACTGTACCCATATTGAATGCTGTGTAATGTCCCTTTGGGACTGCATTGATGAAAAGTGTGGAAAATGTGAAACGTACTAGAATGCTTATACTCTGTTTTCACCTTCCTTCTTTGTACTGGTATCTTCGCAATCATGTATTTATACGACACGTGCTTTGAGATGTCACTTTATGTTGTTTTAGGTGTTCCCAGTACTCTCTTGTTCCGTCTTCATGTTCCTGGCAGTTGTTTCTTTGTTGCCTGGCTGTCTGCATCGGAATTGGGTGTCCTTGTATGCTGGAAAATTCTTTTTGCTTGTTTTTGTGTAACACAGGTTAGTATTTTGTTTCTCTGCTTCACTGATGGCTAATATTCTTATATTTTTTATTAGAATGAGGAGGATTGGTGAACCCAAGACTCTATGAATACTAACTCAGCCATGAATTTGCTTTGGTTACAGGGTCCTTTGAATTGTTGCTTAAGGTGCATTTATTTTTGTATTGCGTAACTAATTTCAAAGCCTATCTTTATTGTAATAATTTTTCTTTTTACTTTTATGTCGTTTGGCTTGAACAAAATCTGCGGATGATAAATATGTATTCAGACTTGCTTCTCCGTCTCTCAGAAATAAAGGTCTGCAGTCAAGTTTCTGCAGTGTTATTATCTTTTTTGTCTGCCATTGAATACCTTAGCTGAAGCAAATGTGCCACAGGCAGAGCAGCTCTTTAGAAAGTTCCCACTTTGCCATCATACTTGATGCTGGGATCTCGCTGTAGCAGTTAAGACACAAACCCACCTTAATCTCCCCCCCCCCCCCCCACACACACACATATATATAGATATACACACAGACACACTAATTTGACAAAAAAAAAATGAAAGACGTTTACAACACCCTGTAATGTTGAATTAGAGCGCAGCTCTTGAGGAGGAGGAGGGAAGAGTACTGAGGGGAGGGTATACCCCTCCTCCCCCTCCTCCCCTCCCCATCGTCCTCCTCCCCCTCCCCGCACGGTGCATTATGGGGCATTTCCCATAATGCACTGCGCGGTTTCGCTGACGGCGATGGCGATGCCGACGGCGACGCCGCTCAAGCCGGAAATGGGCGCCTAAGAGCTGCGCTCTAAAAGGAAGATTGGTAACATAAGAAACAACGGTGTCGTACCAGCCGGTGGTGGCCCAGTCGCATGGCTAGCACTTTCCGACGGCATAGAGCAGACTCCCGATGGCCTGCTACACGGACTCGCCGAGGAAGTCTGTAAGTAGGCTTCGTACAGAAAGGAAGCAAGAACGCTTGCGTGCATTCCCACGGCATTCATGGAGCCCCGAAAAGTCCAGATTGGCTTTTCACCAATCAAAAAAGATTCGTAGAGCCAATCAAATTGGCCGCCTTCGAAACACAAACAAATCACAGATGGGTGCACCGTCAAGTTCAAACACGACCGGGAGCGGAGCCTCGACCGAAGAAAACAAACAAATAAATACAGTGTAATGGGCAAGTCCAGTTAGTGGTGCCAGAGCTCCTTTTTCTGTTTATTCTGTTTTACAAGACCGCTCCAACGACTGCCTGCACCGAGTGTGTCTTTTCCTGCGTATTTTCTATCCTGCAATTTAATTTCTTATTGCTATTTATATCTAGTTTTGTCTAGAATTGACCCCCCAAAATTGCCACTTCTGTAATACTTGAGAATTGTTTGCAGGCGCATTTTTCTCATTACTTCGGCTTTTGTTAAGCTACTGGCATGAGCCGCTGGACAGCCCCTGACAACCGACGATATTCGCATTCAGCCAAGATATCGTGACGAGATTATCGCATTGTGCCGAGAACATCAAGAGAAAGCTTCTAAACTGTTGTTTAAAGCGCTTAATTCTTTTTTACGCTCTAAGGAGACGTCCCAAACTTGTGTAATCCCCTGGATATCGTAGGATAAGAAGGTTGATAGCACGATACCTAAAGAAATGCCTGCTTTTCTGACCCTATAATTTAGCTGTCATTGCAGTTATGATCATCGAATTCCGTTGTTCAGTCGCACTGATTGTAAAGAATTGTGTCAACGTTTGGGAAAACAAAATGCGGCATACAAAACATGTCGTCTACTTCCGTAGGCTGCAGGTACGCTTGAGGTGCCACTGTCGTCATTCGCTACTGCTTTCAATGGCTTTTGAAGGAATTTCCAGCACTAGAGTTTACCGTATTTGCTAATACTACGTAGGGTCTTCGAACAGGACTGGTCCTAATTGTTAAAAAAATTTTACCACTCACCAGCTCTGGTCAGTGGATAAATTTTTATTCATCCACTGGGTGCCAACTATCGATATGTGCAGGCACCAGGGAGCATAGATGAGATTAATGAGGTGCACCCAGAGGTTCGGGAGGCGATGGTACTTGCTTTTCCGAAGAGCTCGGGAGAGGGGCAAGAAGGAAGGGAGGGAAAGGGGAGCCCAGGGAAATTTTGGGGGGGAGGGGGGAAGGACCCCCATGCTCCTCGCAGTCGGCACCTATGTGAGGTGACATCATGTTTCCAAGGTTGTTTAATGCATGTGAAGACATTGTGCTGCATTCTCAAATGGTATGGAAAAGAGACATGGGAGTTTAGAACTATGTACTGATTTTATAGGGCTGACACTCCTCAGCACAGGCATGTTTGTAATTGCACATAGTTTAGCAACAGTTGCTTCTTTTCAGCCGTCACTATCTTTCACTTATTTTTCCACAATATTTTGTAGCACCAGACACTTGTTCCTTGGGGCAGTAGTTGTGGCTCCTGGCTGTCTTCACCAGAATTTATCAGTTGAATGTCGTCATAGAATTTGCAGTGTTTCTTTATCACTTTCTTAGCTTCAGGAACACAGCAGCTAGTATCTGGTTACAGGGCATCTGGGAAACGACAACAGATGCATGTACAAAGTCTGATGGCAGAGTTTCGGTTGTTTGCGGTCTGTGCCGAGTTAAAAGGGGTTGGCCAACCCTGGATTTGCTGATGGCAGGAAAAAATTGTAGGATCACTGACAAAATGAGAACGTTGGCGCGTGTCTTTCGCGCGCCCAGCCTCCAGCATGCACTCCATGTCTTCCGGCGTGATTTCGCAATGTGTGCACACTCGAGGTGCACAAAACTCCAAAGCATTTCGACCTCTGTGCCGAGAAACGGAAGGAGAGGAGAAGACGAGAATGGGCGAGCTCTGATCATCAAGTTATTGTAATGTGCACTAGAGGTCCAACTGGCGCTAGGGTGCTGTCAAAAATTAAAGCAGATATGGCAACCAGTCAAAAATTGACTTCCAATAATGCATTTCTACGGGAAAATGTGTGTATTTTCTCCCTGCGCTCGGCTATAAAAGCAAATATCCCGCATAATTCCTACGTACTAGGTAGCTTGGAACATTCCTCAGTCAGGCAGATGAAATAATTGATAATTGGTCAGTTACAGTGTTTTTCTTTTGAATTCATCGCATTAAAAATGGTGCTAAAACGGCTTCGTATATATATTTATGTGCAATGTCGGACACTGTTGGTACGAACACTTCGTCAACGCTTTCCTGCATGGGGGACATACGTCCGAAACCCAGGAATGACATCTGGAAAGCCAAGAGAGACGACGAGAACTACGCACCAGCACTGGATCAGTAGCTCCCTGTGGGTAAAGATCGGAATAAACTGTAGGCCACATAATATATAGTCAGATTTTTGATAAGTACTGCTTTCTTTCTGCTCTGTGCTAAGATGCTTGTTTTATGTTGAAAACATCACCCGCATGCTCGAAATCTTTGAGAACAAGTGTGTAATAAAAACTCCTAGGCATAGAAAGGGGGAAAAAAAAAAAAAAGAAACTTTGATAGTTTACATACTTTATTCATTACGTTTTGAACGCCCGGGACAATTGCGGAGGCTCGCAGGTTTCCAATTGAAGCATACATGATACAAGAGACGCTGTGGTTGCACTTGAGGCACCTTACACAACATTCTCGCCATCACTTAGCAACGTTACCTACAAACACACCAAAGTCCAGCTTCTCCAGAACGATAAGAGAGCACAATACTATTCTAAATAATTTCAATCGACCATCTATTAAGAGCATACCGCCATGGACATTCTTGACTCCAGAAGTAGTGCCGTACATCAAAGGCATTCATAAGAAGTCATCAACTCCACTGCCTGTACTGAAACAACTGGCATTAAGGGTCATTAATGAAACATACGGCTCGACGACACATGTATACACCGACGGATCCTCTTCTGAAGAACGAGCTGGAGCTGGGATTGTAATACCCGCCCACAGTAATTCCTCCAGTTTTGAAATAGGACACAAAACGACATCAACGGCATCTGAGTTAGCGGCCATACGAGAAGCAGTAAGGTACATCCTATGTCAAGCACCCCAGAACTGGACCATCTTCAGTGACTCAAGACCAGCGCTACAAATAATCCAGTCTTCTATGAAAAATAATGCGTACGACTTTCTGGCATACCAAATCTTCTGCACCTGCCACCGGGCCCTCCAGCAGGGTCATCACATAACTCTTCAGTAGGGGTGTCGCGAACCGGCCGCGGTTCGAGTTCGACCAGGTTCGACTTTTTCGAACTTTTAGTGGAAAGTTCGTCTAACCTTGTATTGAGGTTCGACTCGTGTGCGCATGCGCGACAGGCTGGCCAGTTGGCTTCGGATTGGATGGTAATGGCTAAGAGATGAATTAAAGGGGTACTCCACCGATTTTTTGAGCTACCTCAACTAACTATATTTTCTGACTCCCCGGCCTTTACTCTCTCCGGTATGCTATTTAGAATCGCGAAATTCATAATAGTTATTGCGAAATCGGCAAATGAAAATGATGCAAAAACCAACATTCAAAGATACGCGCGCTTTTCAGGGCCGTGACGTCAGTGGCAGGCAGGCTTGCCAGTCGAGCAAGCAGCCAAAAAACAGAATATGCCAATCATTTGTTCCGTGCTGGAGCGCGGGTACTGCAGCGAGCTTCCCAAGCATTCATTTGACACCATGAAACTGCTTCGAATCAGTTTAAAACGAAATCTACAGCCCAAAGAGTGAACCCCTGCCTTCCACTGACGTCACTTTTTCATTGTTGCCAGTAGAGACTTCGAGCTTGAAAAACACGGTGAGGACCAAAACTGTAAATTCAATAACTTCGCGAAAAAACAATATTTTGACCTAATATTTGGGATACTATTTTCGCGATGTTTGTT